ATTTCTGAACATATTTAATTAGGGGGAAGGCTCATCTGAGTGAGCAACCAGACAGGGTTTTACCTGAGATAATCATTCAGAATATGATCTGAGTCACTCTGGTGACACACAAGAGGAGAAATACTTGATAAGAAGGGAAGAGACGTCACAATCATCCTTGGGTCCCAAAGGACTAAAGGTGTGGACAAAGGCTAAGGTATACAGTGAGTGAGATTGGATGAAGGCAGCAAATATTTGATGACAACTATTGCCATCCTCTTCCCCCCCAGAACCCTGAGTAGGAACCCCCACATCCCTGGCCTCAGGAAAATATGGTGATTTGAAAATATCTGTCTAGACATAGCAATGATGATCACATGTCCCTGGAGTCTTAGAAATACAAAAGTTTGTTCTGAACTAGTATCACATACACCTGAGTTAATAGGGTACATAAGCATTAGAATGTGTGCCTGTAGGTGAAGGTAAAATAAATAGAGGCTATTTAAAGAAGCAGACAATGAAAAGGCATGAAAAATTAGAAAAAGCAGTATAGTTTTATTTGACATGGAGTTTGTTGCTATTAGTTTCAGCAGGATCAACTATATTCAAGGCCATAGAATAAGCCTCAACAAATTCAAAAGGATTGAAATCTAATAAAGTATAGTACAAATTTATGTGACAGAATTAAGCTAGAAAAACAGAGTAATTCTGGAAAATCATGTTTGAAAATTAAACATTATGAAATAACCAATGAGTGAAAGAGGAAATCACAAAAGGAATTAGAAAATATTTGAGTGGAATAAAAAAAATAATATGTCAAAAATAAGTGGGAGGTAGCTAAAAATGGCCTTAAGGAAAATCTACAGCATTACATATTTATGTTAGAAAATAAGAAAGGTCTCAAATCTCTGAACTAAGTTGACATCTAAGAGCCTAAAGGCAAATTAATCCCAAAGCAAACAGAAGGAGGGAAATAATAAGATAAAAGCTAAAGTGGTTAAAAAAAAAGCATAAATTGAATGAACTGAAAAAAAAGGTAAGATAATAAAGCCATAAGTTGATAAAAATTGTCAAACCTCTAGGCATATTAGTGAAGAAAAAGCAAAAGACAGAAGGTATGATTTAATAATATCAGGAATGAAAGATATCACTACAGACCCTACAGACATCAAAAGGTAACACAGAAATATTATAAGGAACTCCATGCCCTTAAATGTGAAAACTTAGATAAAATGGACAAATACCTTGGAAGACACAAACTATTAAAGTTCACTCGAGAAGAAAAATAAATTGAATACTCCTATATCAATTTTAAAAAATTGAATTCCTAGTTTAAAAAACTTCTGACAAAGAAAACTCCACATCAAATGGTTTTATTGGTACAAAAAAATCTCACAGAGTGGAAAATATATTCAAAACACATATCTAATACAGGATTCACAAAGTACATAAAGAACTTTCAAACCTCGATAATGAAAAACAACTCATTTTTTAAAATGGGCAAGACGGGCAAGGTATTTGGACAAACATTTCATAAAAAGCTATATGAATAGCAAATAATCTCATGAAAATGTATTCATCATTATTCATTCAAGGCATGTAAATTAAAACCATATGAGATGCTAGCACCTATTCAACTAGGTAAAATAAAAGAAAATAAAGAAAAAGTAAAAATATTAAGTGCTGTCATAATGTGGAGCAGTTACATATTGCTGGAGGGAATGCAAAAGTATTCACTCACTTTGGAAAAATGTTTGGAAATTTCATATGACTTACCTATTTTGCCACTCAATATTTATTCAAGGAAAAAGAAGACATAAGTGTACACAAAAAACCTGCAAGTGAACACTTATAGCAGCTTTGTTCATAATCACCCCATGTATCCTTCTGCTAAATGAATGAATTAAAAAAAACCCACTATATCCATGCAGTGGAAACCCGCTTAACAATAAAAACAAATGAACTGCTGATACACGCAATATGGATGAATCTCAAAAGCATTATATTAAGATTAACAGAATTACTAAGACTACAAGGTATGATGCACATGACATTACAGAAAGAAAACTCTAGGGACAGAAAACACTTCAGTTATGGGAGAGGCTGGCTACAAAGGCCAGGGCATTTCTTGTGGTAAAGAACATTTCCACACCAAGATTAACATGACTGCATATTCTTGAAACTCACAGAACTATAAACTAAAAGGTATGAATGTTACTATATGTAAATCACATCTCAATAAACTTGATTTTTCATTTAAAAAATATTTTACAAGGGTTTTAAAGAGCTGTTTATCAACACTAATCTCCAGGATATATAAAGAACTCAAAAAACTTAACACCAAAAACAAAAACAAATAACCCAATCAATCAATGGGCTAAGGAACTGACCAGACAGTTCACAGAAGAAGAAATTCAATAGATAAACAAACATATGAAAATGTTCATCATCTCTAGCAATTAGAGAAATGCAAGTCAAAACTACTCTAAGATTTCATCTTACTCCTGTCAGAATGGCAACCATCAAGAATACAGGCAACAATAAATGTTGGCTAGGATGCGGGGGAAAAAGGTACACTCATACATTGCCTGTGGGACTGCAAATCGGTGCAACCACTATGGAAAGCAGTATGGAGATTCCTCAGAAAACTTGGAATGGAACCACCATTTGACTTAGCTATTCCACTCCTCAGTTTATATCCATAGGACTTAAAATCAACATACTACTATGCCACAGCCACATCAATGTTTATAGCAGCTCAATTCACAATAGCTAAACTATGGAACCAACTGAGATGCCCTTCAACAGATGAATGGTTAAAGAAAATGTGGTAATATACACAATGGAATATTACCCAGCCTTAAAGAAGAATGAAATTATGGCATTTGCCGGTAAATGGATGAAACTAGAGAATATCATGCTAAGTAAAATACGCCAATCCCAAAAAACAAAAGCCAATGTTTTCTCTGATAAGCAGATGCTGATCCATAGTGGTGTAGGGGGTAGGGAAGAATGAAGGAACTTTAGTTTGTGCAGAGGGGATTTAGGGGAGGGGTGGGGCTGTGGGGATGGGAAGGACAGTAGAAAGAGACAGACATTATTACCTTATATACATGTATGATTACACTACTGGAGTGACTCTGTACCATATACAGCCAGAGGAATAAGAAGTTGTGCTCCACTTGTGTACAATATGTCAAAATGCATTCTACTGTAAAACAAATTAATAAATTTAAAAAGAGCTGTTTATCAGGAACATGTGCAATGAGGATCAGGCAAATGAATGAGATAAAAAAAAAATCTCATAAGAAGGGAGCACACCTACTTAATCCAAGATGTAGGGAAACTAAAGAGAAAAAAACTTTTCAAGGCAGGATAGAACCAATAAGCTAGGGTTACGGTGTTTGCAACAAATGAGCTTCACCCCAACCTGAGAGGTCATTAGGAAGTAGAGTGTATATTCTGAGAAATGAGGAGAATTTGCAGCTGCTTTAGACCTGAGGCAATTGAATCATCTGAAGAGGGGGGTAAGTTAAGATGGTCTTTAGGACTGCTGAGCCCAGGTGTGCATATTCTGAAAAATCCTTGCTACCTAAGTGTAAGTCAAACTTATAAATGTGGCAGGAAATCATTCCCAAGATTAGATGAATAGTCAATTAACTTTGAATTTCTCAGAAAGTAGATTATGGGGTTGGGGCTGTAGATCATTGATAGAATGCATGCCTAGTACGGGTGAGGCACTGGGTTCAATCCTCAGCACCACATAAAAATAAATAAATAAGATAAAGTTATTAAAAAATGTTAAAAAAAATGGATTATGTTGGGTGAACATGACCTAATCAGGCAAGCTTTAAAAAAAAAAAAGGCTGGGCCCTTCCTGAATGGAGATTTTCCCATCCAGCTTGAAGAAGCGAAGGTTAACTGTGTTGTGAACTGCCTTTGGAGGAATCCATGAAGCAAAGACCTGAAGGCAGCTTCTAGAAGCACGGAGAGGTCTTTAGTCTCCCATCAGCAAGGAAATGGGCACTAAATTCTAACAACAGTGATCCTGGAAAAGTGACCACAACCCTCAGATGATCAAATCCTGAGCTAACACTTTGACTCCTACCCAGTAAGACTGAGCAGAGAACCCAGACCTCTGACCCAGAGAAACTGCAAGACAATAAACTTGTGTGGATTTACACCATTAAGTTCATGGTGATTTTGTTATACAAATAGAAAGCCAACTCAAAGAGTCATTAATAAATTAAAATGTTGTTGAGCTAGTTTAGTCAATGAGAATATTTTCATGATTTTTGACCCCAAGAGTCCTTCAATCAATAGTAAGTTAGTTTGAATGATTTACTATTCATTGAATCAAAAAGCATCACAAAAGTTAACATCATAAAGGGAAGACTAAGGGGACCATGTCTTGGAGAATAATTCATGTAAGTTCTGTCTAGTGGTGGCCCCAGAAAGTCCATCATAAACTGGTGGAGCAGTCTTCCACTGGAGGTTCCTTGGCCTGGTCTCCTCACACTTGATAAAGTGCTGTCCCTACAGGCTTCCCTTCTATAAAGGTCACCACTTCATGACTGCAGAAACCCAAGTACTATGTTTCTCTCTGGGCTAGACACCCTCGCATAGGTCTCCAGGGCCAAGAACACATCCAGGGTAGAAGGACATCAGCAGTCACTGGACTTTCTTAACACTGACCATACACATTTCTGAGGCTGGGCACCAGGAAATAATCACTTGATCTTCATCACCATAAAAAAATGCATGAATCATTCCTCAAGAGTCTCTCTGCATATGTGAAAACAGGAAGTTTTATTTTTCTTCCCCCAAATAATATAATTTGAATCCTCATAGTAGAGTGTGGCACTCTTGCAAATTAAAAAAAAAAAAAGAAAAAAATTGCACTCTTCATTTTCACTTCAATTTTTTAAAATTACACATTTTCATGAGTTTATTAGTACTTTTATGCTGACATTATTAGTTTTAAATATCATGTGATAAAAATGGAACCTATAATAACTTACCTTGTAACTTTTTAGTCTGATGAAATCAACCTTCATAGAGACAAACCGATCTGAATTTCGGCTGATGTTCTTAAGGTGTTCTACAAGATCAGCACAGAATTTGTAACCACCTTTAAGTACACACAGGACCATAATGTCGCAGTATCCAATGTCTTTCATTATATCCTTTGCCAGCCGCTCAATTCTGAAAGCAGTAAGGGATAAAAGACATATTAATAAGTGCAACCATTTCTGAGCATTTTTGTTCCTTTAATAAAAATGCATGATGTATTATTCATATTAGGTTATTCAGAGGACTGTGGAGAAAAATTTGGGGAACAGAAACCTACAGACAGAAAGGCTTTGTTAAAGATGGACACCGTGTTCGAAATATATTTCTGATAGCTACATCTTTAATGGCACATTCTTGATTCTTCATGTCACACAAATTATTAAGGTGTAAAGTACAAAGTCAAAGGACATGCATGCTAATATTTTATCACCCCAGTGCCTAGTTGTTAACAATGTATGATGGTATCTGATGACGTGTTAACTTTATAGCAGAGGAAAAGGAAATGGAGAGTGACTCACTCACCTTATATTATAGGAGACTGGAGGAAAAGTCAAGCCTATTGTAACTATCAAAAGAATAATGTGTCTCGTAATTCAACAGAGGTAGCATATGGCCTGTGTGAAAGGTGCTCCAGAATGCAATGCCACAGGCAGTGTTTCCAGGGAGCACAATGCTAAGGATGCCCCCTGGAGTTGTGCAATAGCCACAGCCTTGGTCTGCTACCTATTGCTGGTTGGAACTGTTCTTGTATTTGTTTCAAGTTGTCTATAAGTCTATTGCCCATGGGCCATATAACATCAAAATCTAAATGAAGATGGGATCTAAGATGCATACTTTTAAAAATATTCCCATTGGCACTCCAAACAAATAGAATTAGATTAAAATAGATAACTAGGTGATACACACACACACACACACACATGTATATAAAAAATTGTAATACATGTATTCAACATACACTTAATATATACTATATATACAGCATAATATATTTTATATGGTATGTATGTATGTATATATATAGAGAGAATGGTAACCATAGTTTCAGGCAATGTTTCTCAAAATATGATCATCAAAGAATTCATATCAGAATACCTGACATGCTCCTTAAAAAGGGACATTTTTTTCTGCATGGTGGAATAAGAGGGTCAACATCTTGTCTACAAACAAACAAAGCTGGACAAAATTCAAAAACAGCCATTTTAGCACTCTGGAAATCAACCAAATGCATATAACAAAGTAGACACTTAATCATGAAAACACTGAATACTGGAGAGAAGTCAGTGGCACTCTTACCTGGGGATGTCCATCACACCACAACTCCCACCCCCCAAGCTGTTTACCCATGTTGTTCAACCAGCATAGGATTCTGCCACAGGGAATTCACCTGACTGGGAACGCTGTAAACTTACCTGGCCACTTCAAGAGCATGGCTCCATTACCCTGAAGTTGCAGTCACAATTATGTAACAAACTGGCCAAGTAGTTGGGATCAGATGACTGGAGTCACAGGGAAGGGGTACACAATTATATATGTCAAGTTGACCAGAGGCTACACATATACATCCCTGAATGATGGAGGCTTACATATATGTGAGGAGGAGATGGAAGACAGCTAGGGGTGGGTGTGAAGAGTGGGAGTAAAAACCAGGGAAGACTTGAAAAAGGTTGGTTGGAAACTTGAACATATTGGCCAGCCACAGATACATCCAACAACAGAGAGGCGCCTTCGTGTCTCTAAGTCTTCTAACCACTGTAGACTGAACACTGTGCTATTTAAACACAGGGGTAAACCTGGTAAGCTGGCCTTAAAAATAAAACCAAGTGTCAGACACCGTGGCACACGCCTATAATTCCAGCAGCTCAGGAGGCTGAGACAGAAGGATCGCAAGTTTAAAGCCAGCCTCAGCAATGTAGTGAGGCACTAAGCAACTCAGTGAGACCCTGTCTCTAAATAGAATACAAAATAGGGCTGGAGATGTGGCTCAGTGGTAGAATGCTCCTGCGTTCAATCAACCCACCCCCCTCAAAAAAAAAAAGTTTGCTAAAATCATCAAATCATTCACCAACCTGAATTTTGTAGTATATAATTATTACCTTAATGTTTATTTTAAAAGTAAGAATGGACATTCGTGGTCCCCAGCCCAGACTATTGATTCAGGGTTTCTAGACATAAAAACATGTTCACCGAATAATTCTATACAAGGAGAAAGCCCAGGGTCACTTTATCCTGTATTAAATCATGTTTTAGATCTGGACACAATTAACAAAATTCATAAAATTCAAGTAAGAAAAGCAAAAATTTGTTTAAACTAGGGGCCTCCCAAACTGCTGTTAAGGGAAATCTCTTCTCAGAAGTTACAAAGAGGTGAACAATATAAAGTCTCCCTCTACATAAATAAAGTTGATTTAATTTCTTAAGTCAAGCAGGTCCCCCCTGCCATTTTTCTGTATTTTAATAAGCTAATGTTTGTTTTCAAGTGCCAACTGCGAGATTTACCAATCTGGGAAATACAAAATTTCCCAAGCTTATATGATCATGGAACTTTTCTCCCCTAGGAGAATCAGGCTTATAGTCCATGAAAAAGTCATCTGAGGCCATGAGAAACCCGAAACTAGAACTTATTTTAATAATATATTATAAGTTGGGAGAAGAAGCAAAATACAAATCTTATGTAACACAAAATCTTAGAATTTGGACAAAGGAATAAGGCTTCTGTTTGCTTACTGACAGGATTGGTGGAAAGATAATATCCTGGTAAGGTGACCATTTGGTGTTTTTCAAACTTTGTTTTGTTCTGAGTACTTAGTTCATAAAGTTAAATTTTAACTCACAACAGATTAAAGAACTAGAGGCAGAGGAACTACACTATACGACTTGAGGAAAGGGTACCTGTGGGATCCCAAAGTCTCAACTTGCTCTTACTCCCCACTGCCTTCCCCATTTGAAATCTGGGCCTCTAAATAATCTCTAGGATTCCAGAAAGTGCCTTATAAACACCAGGACACTCACTTTCCATATAAATGTGAAGGCTTAAGTATTTCAACCTTTGTCCAAAAACTTAGAGGTACAAGAACAGTCTTGATATCAAGACAGTTTTGTTAAAGGATATGACCTATAGATCCTGATGCTAGTGTTGGGCTGAATTGGATGTGGACCCTTAAAACCAAGAGTAAGTGGGCATGACCCCACGGGCTTTAGGAGAAATGTTTTTGGAAAAGCCAACAAGCTCCCAAAACCCAAAGGATGTCAATGTAGGAAAGAACTAGAAATTGTATACTAGAAATAGTTTTCTGCAGATAGTTTTAAACTGCAAATACTGTCATTACCTAAACATTACCACTGGCCCGAAAACACAATAGTACAAAGACTGGCTGACCTGTGATACTTTACTTGTTCCAAGAGAATTGAAAGTAAGGGCTTTAAGGGCATGTCCTGTGAAGGCAATGCCACCTCTTCACTGTTTCTGGTTAACTCAAGGGTCTGTGAAAGGCACGAGGCAAAGGTTTGGGGGTGAAATCAGTGCTTTCCCAGCACCTATTTCCATCTCTTTGTACAGGACATTGTCCATGTAAGGCTGGTACTTACAACAGCTTCTGTATGTGTAGCCTTCCTAGCATCCCCTCTGGACAAATGTCCAAGGATAGCATTCAGTTAAAGCACCAATTCATTACATTCCAAATTTGCTGTCCTATAAAATTGTCTCTACTACTCTAAAAAGGGGCTTGGACTAGGGCACCCGAGTACATTACAGGAATCACAAAACAATGAGCCAGCCCAGCACAAGACCAAGGTTAACACAAAAAATACCACTCACCTGTCTACAATGATGCCATGGGGTATGAGCACATATTCCAAATCTCCGTAATAGTGCTGTGGGTACGTGAACAAATCTAAGTCGTACCCTGGCCAGCTGTCTGTAATCTGTAAATTAAATTATTTTGGTTATGGTATTTTTCATTAGATTTTTAAAAACATAAATAAATAGCAAGAACAATAAATTTTTCATTTAACATCAAAATCGTACTGAACACAAAAGATGGATCTACAGATCTCAATGTTGCATAAAATTATATTCTTTCAAATTCTGAAAAAGTGAGTGGGGAAGGTTTGTTTGTTTACTGCTAAAATGAAAAGAGTGTTTCATTCCCAAATATTCGTATCATACAATAAAAACATAAATTTGATGTCTTATAGTTAAACTGATAGCATTATTCAGAAAAAAAGTAGGTATGTGTAAGTACTATGGGTGTTGCTCAGTGATATAGTGCTTGCCTAGCATGTGTGAGGCCCTGGGTTTGATCCCCAGCACTGTAAAAAAGAAAGAAAGAAAGAAATATATATATGTGTGTGTGTGTGTGTGTGTGTTGTGTATGTGTATATATACATATACACATACACACACACAACTTATAAAAATATAACATTTTTTAGTATTGGGGACTGAAACCAGATATACTTTTCCACTGAATTATATTCCTAGCCATTTTTAATTTTTATTTTGAGACAGGGCCTTACTAAGTTGTTGAGGCTGGCCTTAAACCTCTGATCCTCCTGTTTTAGTCTCCAACTTGCTATACATATATATGTGTGTGTGTGTGTGTGTGTGAACATATAGACACAGTATTATTATGATACATTCTGATATATGTCACTACATTTCTATTCATTGTCAATGCCTTATATGCCTGGGAAAGGTCACCTATAAATAGTATATTTCTCCTGGCATTAAGAGTGGACCCAAATTTTGAATGGTCCAGTCAATATAGTAAAGATTTAAAAGGATGTACTAGGGTAGGAACTTAAGTCAGTCCCTACTGGGAATGTGATGGGAATTGGCCTATCTGTAGAAAGACTGATAGCAAGTCTTTACCTTGCTTAGGACTCATTGTGCAAGTTTCATGGTCAGAATGATAGAGATGGAGGAGAAAATGAAGGTACAAGTGGAGTTACTTTAACTTTCATATCATTTAGAAAGGATGCAATAATGAATGCATTATATACTCAAACCATTACATACTCAAATATGCTGTATCTGGCTTCTTGTTCTTTCTCCTGTATACTTTCACCAGATTCCTCTGTCCAGCTATGGGCTTTGAAAGCCCTTCATAACGGAGACCCATCCTAGCTTTCCAGCCCAACTCCCTACACCCATTCCATTCTCAGACAGGTGTCCAGTTGTGATTCTTCCCAGCTCAGTCCGTCCTGCACCCTGCACCTTTTCCTTTCTTCCCCCTCTACCTCGATATTCCAAACTCATCACCTTCCTGAGAAGTTCAGGTCAGCTCCCACTTCTTCCTGGCGCCTTGCTGACGGTTTCTACCCTTTGATCTTCTTTGTCAAATTCCTGGTGCCCCTTGCAGCCCTCTGTTCTAACAAAGGCTCCAACAAAAATCCATGGAGAACATTCTTGCCCCTTTCATCCTAGCACTCACTCCGTCCAATCTGCTGTTGGTTTAGAGCCCATTCATTCCCTCTTTAGGACACTGCCTGATTTCTACCCTTCTTCTCATGCGGGACTCAAATCCAGTTCTTCTTTGCTGAGGTTTTGGAAGGGCACTTGAGGTCCAGCCCCCACACACTCTCATTCCGGTTCTGGTTTCTGAATTGCCAGGCAAACCAAACTCAGGCTATTTATCCCTCCCCTGTTTCAGTAAAGACCAGCTCATTCTTCTACTTGCTCAGACCAAAACCTTGAAATTGTCCCCGATTCTTTTCTTCCATCCCCCTCACGCAACCCATTAGCTCAGTTTATCTTCAATTCCTTCAAAATCTAAGCAGGACCAGTCCTGAGCACCTCCACTGCAATCTCTCCACACCCATCTTGGTGCATGCCACTGTCATTTCTCCCCAGATGACTGCAGTAGCTGTCATCTAGTCTTCCTGCTCCACTTGCAGGCCCTGCATGTGGCAGCTAGAGTGCTCTATTTAAAATGTGCATCATTATCCTAGCAGACTTGTGCTCAAATTTTAAGAGTTTATCATTTCACTTGGAGTAAAATCCAAAGTCCTTGCCGTGGTCCATACAGGTCTCTCTCTCTGATGTATCCCCTGCGCTTTCTTCCTCCTTCACCCTACTTCAACCATTGTTCTCCTGCTGATCTTTCAATCTGCCAAGCATGTTCCTGCCTCACGAACTTTGCATCTCCTATTTCTGTTGTCCATAATACATTTCTACTAACTGTCCACGTGGCTGCCCTTTACTTCTTCCAAGTCTTCATTCAGTGCCACCTCAACAAAGTAGCCTTCCCCGACCATGTATATAAAATGGCACCCCTCCCTCCCCACCCATCTCTGTATTATTCTTATCCAGTTTTACTTTCCTTCATAGCATTTATTATCAATGGATGTGATGTGTGTGTGTGTGTGTGAGTGTGTGTGTTCTGCCTTGTCTCTTCTCACTGGAATGTCAGCTCCTTCTGGCAGAGACTTCATCTTATTCTTTGCTCAATCCCCAGTGCCTAGAACACTGACTTGGACTGTGGGAAGTGCTCAAAATGTTCAATGAGTGAATGAATGATCATCTCTACCCATGTGCTACCCGACTATCTGAACTTCAGCCCCAGCTCTCGGTTTGTCTCCTTGCAATGAACAGCACCACTGTTCAAGGCTCTGGAGAGTCATATCTATCATATCTATTGGCAGAACCATGGCCAAAGTGTGGGCGTCCTCTGCATACTTGAAAAGCATCACATTTGCTCTTCTTCTGCCAACAAACTGGCTTTCACCCTGAGGATTCCTTGGGCCGCTATAACCTCTGACAACACAGCAGCTAGTCAGAGCCTGGCCTAACAGCTGCACTTGAGAGACCTCCAGCCTCCAGAAGAGCCTCTGTCAGGCCATAGTAAAGACCATCCAAGGACCCTGAGGAGCACCGTCCCCCTTGGAGATCATATAAACACTTTCTGGCTGCCCTTCTTGACCACACACACTGCCTACTCCACTTCCTTTAGCCCTGCCATTGGTGAGAATATTAACAGGGGGTCTTCTGAGTTCATTATTTTCACCATGCAATCCTTTGCTGCCCTCTGCTCCAACGGAATCTCAGAGGCAACTCTACTCCTGTTCCTCTTGCAGGCCCTCCACGTAGCAGCTGGAGCGCTCTGTTTAAAACATACATCATTGTCCTAGCAGACTTGCACTCAAATTTTAAGAGTTTATCGTGTCAAGTCTCTTACTACTGTGATGTTAGGGAAATTACTTACTCTTTCTGAAACCCAATTTCCCCCTCCTTTAAGTAAAACACAATAAAACCTGTGGACAGGGATGTGGCAAAATAGAAGAGAGACAGAATACAGTACTTAGAGTGCCTAGTACATTAATTAACATATAACAACTGCTTAATAAATGATGCTAGAAAAGATAAGAATGCCAAGAAAAGGGAAAAGATGATTAAAAAATGACAAGATAAAATCCATGCATAAAAAGTGTAATGGCAATCCATAACTCAGAGACAATATAAAGTGCAAGAACATAAACTTAAAATCTACATATCTGGGTCAAAATTGTTAGCCATGGGACCTTGGGCATATTAACATCTCTAAATTTCAATGTATTCATCTATAAGATGAAGTCAATGCTTGCATCATATGACTACTGTGAGGATTAAATGAGAGAGATAATGGTTATAAGACATATCAGTATTTGGTTTATAGTACTTATGCAATAAATGTTAACCATTTAGATGTACAGAAACATCAACTGTTTAGTTACAAATTATATGGTTTAGTTCATTGATAGTAGTACCTCAAATCATCAAGAATACAAACAATAATAAATGCTGGCAAGGAGGGTGGGGACACTTATACATTGCGGGTGAGACTGCAAATTAGTACAACCACTATGAAAAGCAGTATGGAAATTCCTATGAACACTGGGAATGGAACCACTGTATAACTCAGCAACCCCACTCCTTGGCATTTATCCAAAGGAACTAAAATCATCATATTATACCGATACATGCACACCAGTGTTTACAGCAATGGAATTCACAACAGCCAAGTTATGGAACCAGTTTAGGTGTCTGTCCATCAACAGACGAATGGATAAAGAAAATGGAGTTTTACTCAACCATAGAGAAGAAATGCATTATGTCATTTGCTGGTAAATGGATGGGACTAGAGAATGTCATGTTAAGTAAAATAATCGTGATCAGAAAATCAAGAGTTGAATGTTTTGTTCCATCTGTGGAAGCTAGAGACAAAGAAAGAAAAAAAGGAATCTCAGGAGAATAGTAGGAGACTAGTAGAATACCGGAAGGGTATGGAAAGGAAGGAGATGTAGAGGAAGGGAGGCAGAGGGGAAAGGGGAAATAATGGGGAAATGAAATTGATCAAATTATGTGCATGTATGAAATATGTCACAATGAATCCTATGTATAATTAAGATGCATGAATAAAGCACTTTGAAAGTTGGTAAATATTTAAAAAAAAATAGTCAATATGTCAGGTGCCAAAAATAATTAAAAATAATGAAGTGACTCAAAGCTCTTTGCCAAAGTCTTATTACCCTAGTGAAAGCTGTAAACTTAAAGTAGAAGAAACTGATTTCTCTAAAACTATTCTAGAATCCCTGTAGGCCATTATTCCCAATTAATCTGAAATGGTGCTTTCATTGTTGAGATTAAAGACAAAGAGAGATGAAGGAATTACTGGTTTATGTTTTGTTACATTTAAGGTGAATGCTAATTGTGTTGCAAATAAATTGAATCATGGAGGAATGAAGGTTGCTCTGCACCTTAATAATTATGTTATTCATTTGCTTTTTTAAAAATCACAAGAAGAAAACTTTAATAGTTTGAGTACCAGAGATAACATGCTCTAAGTTTATTCAGCACAATGCTTTCTCTGTTCAAAGAGGCAAAATATCACCAAGCTGGGGAAGTGACAAACACATTAAATGAGTCATTTTATACAGCATTCAAATCCCAGAACTAATTCTGATTCTCTTGTTCTCATTTGAAAGTACACTGAAACCCTTCTCTTCAAGTCATTAAAAGTGTGGGGTTTTTTTTTTTCCTCCTGAGATTATTTCTTGCAGGTTTAATTTTTCCCCAGGGAGAAAACAGTATGGAAACATCTCTAAGCAGCTAGTCTCTGCCTTTGTTCATTTCTGAGCTCACACACTTGACCCCACTCTCCCCTGCAGGCCATTGACACTGGTTTTCGGGCTCACCAGCAAAGAAGAAAGGAGTCTCATCCCTTAGCCCTGATTCAAAGAATCACAGACAGGAACATCAGTTGGCCCAGCCCAGTGCCAGGAAGGGTAGTGTAGTATGAGGGACAGGCCACCTGAAAACCACACTTCTGGAACAAAGGGTAGGAGCGGTGCTAAATGAAGGACGCTATGTTCCGCCATGAGAGGAATGAGAGGGTTTTGATAGATCATATAATACCTTGTATTCCACAGGCCTTCCTCTTCTGTAGTGGGTTCAGCATTTAGAAGGTAAATTATCACAACCAAGTAAAGCTGTACCTACACCTTGTTTTGCCACTCTGTCCCCATGGAGGAGAGGAGAGAAGAAGAGTCAACCGTAGGACAAACAGAAATTTTAGACTTGTATTCCTACCACGCGCACCTGTGTAGGTACTAACTCTGGCTCTTTTGATAATGCTTTGGTAAAAAAATCAAACCAAACCGAAACAAAAATATCTAAGAACCTGACCCCTCAAAACAAGATGGGGCAGAAAAGATCTTTTCTCTCCCCAAGAAGTAACAAAGACCAACCAGGAGTTCAGTGACCTCACTAGCTCCAGATCAAGTAATGACCAGTTCTATGCAAAATTTCTCAGCTCAGGGTCTACACACATCTCTTATTTAATAATTAGCATATAATATTTTGTTGTCAATAATCTACTAATGATTTATTGTCAATAATCTACTAATGTTCTACCTGCCCAATTTAACAAAGAGCCACTTATAGGCAAGAACCATCTTAAATCTCTGAATATGCTCTTCTCTTGCACACATTACACTGTCATGCTTAAATCATCTGGTTCTATTCATCTCCACGTTTCTGCCAACTCAGAATTTTCCTCTCCACCTCATTTCTGGACAACTCTTTCGATGATTTACTCCAGTACTTCACTTGATAATTCTTCCAACTATCCCAGCTTGTAGCTCCTCACCTGCCTTTCATCAAGTTACTTCATCTTAATTCGACATTAGCAACACGTTCACATAGCCCCACAGAACTGAGAAGCATCCCCAACTCTAGAATCCCCCACCCCCTGGAATCACAGGTTCCTATGCAGCATAGTGTTTGAAGCTGGTTCAAATTCTGCTTCTGCCATTTACTAGTTATATGACCTTGGTATGTCCGTGTTCTCTCAGTACCTCAATTTCTTCTTCCATAAAATGGACAGTATAACCGACCTACCTCACAGATTTGTGAAAGATTCAATGAATAACAGTAAAAGTGCATAGGGAGGGCTGGGGTTATGTCTCAGTGACAGACGGTTTGCCTCACATATATATGTGAGGCACTGGGTTCAACCCTCAGCATCACAAAAAATAAATAAACAAAATAAAGATATTGTGCCCAGGTATAACTAAAAAATATTTTTAAAAAGCACATAGCGAGTGCTCAATAAATGCTTGCTATTGTTACCTGCTCCCCCTTTTTCCCCACTGGTACCAAAACTTCCTTTTGATTTTTTTGCACCCTACCTTTAAGGGTTCTCTATTTTACTCTCTCCAGCTTTCCTTTCCATCCCTAGCTTAGGAGTTTCCTTCCATCAGCATCTTGAATTTTCTCTGAACTTGACTTGCCTGCTTATTCCCAACTTGAGGTTAATCTAATTATTCCAAGTTCTGCTGCAGACGATGACATATATGCAGGGGCCACTTCCATCCTATACTGATTATTTCCAGCTCTGATGGGCCCTCATGCAGTTTAGCAATTACTCATCAGATCCAAGCCCCACAGGAGCTGGTACAAACTGTGTTTCCTTTCCCTGTACCCCTCACTACTTCTCTGCATCTTGCTTCCAAGAGGGCCTCTATTGATAACAATAAATTGGACTATTTACACTGTTACCTCATTTGTTTTTCAGGCTTTAGTAATCTACCTATATGATCATAGTGTGTTTAGATTTACTTTGTTCTTTTTTAAGAGTGTCTAGTATTATATGGTAGTACTACATTGTAACATTCTACCATGGGATGGTTGTTTAAAGGATTCTCATCACCAACTGGTCTGTAATTGCTAAAACCAAAGGCCTCTTTCCCACCTTTATCTTACTTGCTCTTCCTGCAGCATCTGACACTATTGATGACCTCATGACCCCCCACCAACCCCCTACCATAAAATTTTTCTTTGGGCACCTACCTGCTGCCCTACTAGCTTTCTACTCTCTCCCATGCTGCTGTTCCTTCTTGGTCCCTTTATTCCCCCACCCCTTTTATATTTGGGGCTTTCCAGGCATCTGTCCTTAATAGTTTATACTTTTTTGATTTTCACAGGATGTCATCATTCACTCTTAAATATTAAATATTACTATTTTGTTGTTGATTTCCAAATTTATCCTATTATTCTCAGGAATTCAATTGTGAATTTCAAAGATTCTTATAAAGCATCCCAACCTGTGAGTCCTATAGATTTGACTGATTGGAACTTAATGATTTCCCTTTTCTTATTTTTATCCCTCTCCCAGTCACCTCACTCCTAGTCCTGTCCGTCCTCTCCATGGCAACTGGAGTGATTTTTGAAAAAATAAATCAATGCCATGATTCCTTTGCATTTGGTATGTGGCCCTGTGTCTTGAAATCCTCGCATGGCTACCTCCTGTCTACCCACCCGTCAGATCTCAGCTCAAATGTCACAAAAAGAGCATAAGTATCGATCCCCATCCCTCCTCCAATTTCTCTCTGACCTGTTACCCTCTTTCAATTGCGCACATCACTATCTGAAATTATCTCCTCTACTTATGCACTTTCACACTGCTTGCCTGTGTCCTTCCTCTAAAATGCAAGTCCCAGGAAGACGGGGTTTTTGTCTTGCCCCCTTGCTGCAATAGCCAGAGCCTAAAACAAAACACCCCTTGGAACCCAGCAGGCCAGTCAACATGTGTGGCATGAATAAGTGACCTCCACCTCTAAGAAGGAAAGGTCCTGCGGTTAAGTTATGAACTGAGCAACATGCCGGGCTCAGTGGCTCAGGCTTGTAATCACAGTATCAGAGGAGGCTGAGGCAGGAGGATGGCAATCCAGGCCAGCCTCGGCATTAAGTGAGAATCTCAGCAGTTTAACAGGACCCTGTCTCAAAATAAAAATAAAAAATAAAAAGGGCTGGGATGTTGCTCAGTGGAGAAGGGCCCTGGGTTTGATTCCCAGCACAAAAACAAAACAAAACAAAAATTTTAAAAACCACATTTCAACCTGAACAGTTCTATTTGAGTGAAGGTGTTTCTTTCTCCACCCTCTCATCCTAATTCAGTGGATTCATTTTCACAGATGGTCTGTGGATTACAAGATGAACTTGAAAGAGAATCTTAATGGCAAGTGAGCCCCACTCATCTCCCTCACCACCTTTTCACACTAAACCTGACAGTGTCAAAACCACCACCATCCATGATTTGATCCCAGGATCCTGAGAGATGGGATCTGGATCACACCTCAAGGAGTCCCAGGTTAAGAGGCTGAGGTCTGTCCCTCCCCGACCTCTCCATCAGGACAAACTACCAGATATTTCACACACATGATCTCCAATTCTCTGGGCAGGCCTGGCTTGCTATTTCCCCCTTTCCAGACCAGGCAAGGGGCACTCCAGAGCCACTAGTTTGCGCGAGAACTTGTGCAGAGTCCCTCCCCAGGTTTAAAGACTTCAAAGCTCCTACTCCGTCCTGGAGAGCTACTTTAATAAAGGGAGCTACTTTATTTCCTAGCTGCTCTCAGGAATCCTCAGTATCTTTTTTGGGAAACAAAACTTGAAGCCCACTCTAGAGGAGTCAGGGTGCAACACAAAAAGGACAGTCGCCAGAATGGCAAGTGAGGGTCTTCCCAGACCCGCCCGCTGGCGTAAGTGACTTCTGGAGGCTTATAGGAGTGGGGACCCGCAAGACGCAGGTTTATCGCCAAGGTAAAGCGGTTTTGGTCAGGGAAGGAGGGGGGACATTGAGAACCAGGGTAAAGGCACGTCGGTATTAGGTGTTTCGTGAGTTTGGGGGGCGGGGAAGGGAGGATTGGGTTTGGAGGTGGAAAGGATCCCCGCCGCGAGGGGAAGAACAAAGCAGTGGCCCGCACTCCCCCGAAGGCATTTCAGGCATTTCGTCTAAAAGGAGGGTGCCAAGAAGCGAGGGGAGGGGAGCGAGCCGGGAGCTCACGACTCGGTCCCGAAATCGGGAGTTTGCATTTACCACGACGCCTCGCCCGCAGTCTGGCGCCTCCTCCGTGCTCCCGGCCATGTTTCTCCCGGGGAAAGCGGGAAGGAAAGACCGGCGCGGGAAGGATCCGGGAGGCCCGGGCTGGGCTGGGGGATGGGACATGGGGATGGGGATGGGACGTGGGGATGGGGATGGGACCGGGGCCGCCCCGCCCTCGGCCAGCCGGCGGGAAAGCAAGCCTGGCGCGGCGCCAGCGCCTCGGCCGATGCGCCCCCTACCCCCGTGGGTCCCCGGGGCGCAGCGCGGGGAGCAGCTGCGGAGCAGCGCCCGCTCCACCTGAGCGCAGGCCCCGGGCGCGTCCCTGGCGGCCGCCGCCTGCCGCGTGTCCGTCTGCGAGCTCGTGAGCCCCGTCGCCTGCTCTCGCCCCGCAGGGACTCGCGACGAGGAGGCAGCCGGCGGCTCGCTCGGTGCGGAAAGAGAAAGCTCTGTCCTGTCCCCCTGCCTTCCTAAATCCGTCGCCCCAGCCCCCGGGCTAGCAGTCTCCCTGACTCCTCCCTACATTTTTATGCGCCCATTTGTCCCCAGTAAATGCGTGAAAGAGCCGCGATTCTACGAGTTTTTTGCTTGACAAAAAAATATCCTGGACGGTTTCAAATCCTCCAACCTCCGGGCCGGGAGTTGCAAAGAGCCACGCGATTGCTTTTACCTAGGACCATACCCTTGGCGATGGACGTTGGGCCTTTCCTTAAAACTGCGTTCCCGGCAGGGGGCAAAAGAGGTTGTTATAAAATGACTGTATCTGCTTTACCACTCAAAACGCCAGACGGTCAGACTTTAGTTGTTTCAGGTTGCAGTTGAAAACGACGGCTCTCCCTGGTTAGAAATCTTTGTTTTATGAATCTGTTGTTAAATCCAAACCCTAATATCAGTTCCCTCCCAACCCGATGTCCTGGTTCTTTGTCTTTTCCTCTAGGGCCCTCCTTTCCCTGTATTCAGGCCTCTGGTCTCTGACATCTCCTCAAAGGTTCCACACAGCCCGGCTTCCAATTGAAGCCCTGAATTGAAGACAGATCCCTTGACTCAGCCTCTCCAAAACACTTTTGATAATCTTGGGGTTCTGGCACAAGGAATGCTGATTTTGCCCGGTTTGAAGGGAAAGTAGTTATCAGTTCATGTCGCTCTGGGTTGGCAAAATAGTCACTCAGATGTGGCAGTCCCACCATGCTCAGCACCGCTGGCCTTTGATGTGTCTTCTAAATGTTATGTGCAGTGAAAGGGTTCTCCAAGATTAAGCACCAGACATGCGGTGACTCCCTGCATAAATGAGAGATGTTTCCTAGTGCACAAATGAACATTTTTCTCTCAGTCATTGTCTGGAGGCCCTTATATTGAACCATTTCTGTAGTCTGCCTCTTTTCCCCAAAATCAAAGACCAGGCCTAGAAATCATATTCATAACCAATGTCACTGGAATTTTCAGGAACTGAACAAAGCTATCATGATGATCAAACTTTTGAGTTCACTGGACTGGTTAATGCAGCTTTGCTGGTCACACTGCTTCCCACTGGTTATGGTGGAGAAGATCTGTGGGGGGACCAGAGTTCAGAACTGGTCAGAGACACCCAAAGGACATGCTGTGGGTGGTTCACAAACCTTAGTGCTTCAGTATCAAACTTAGCCATCCAAGGCTCAGTGTGAATGCCTGGGCCAGACTAGGTGGCAAGAGACTTTAAAATATTTCACAGGACTGGGGATGTAGCTCTGTGGTGGAACTTGTGTTTTGCATGTGTAAGATTCTGGGTTCAATCTCCAGCATGAAGGGAAGGGAGGGAGGGAGAAAGGAAGAGAAGGAAGAAAGAAGGATTGAGAAAAGAAAAGGATAAAAAAATTAAAGGAGTAGTTGCAACATAGAAATTAAAAAGCAACCACTGTGGTCCAGCCCGGACATTGTGGAAGATGTAAGGGAAATGGTTGATAAATCTTTTTTTCCTTGCAAAGACCATTAATTTAAACATAAAACCCAGTAGGTTCATAATGAAAACAAACAAACAAAAAGTAACTTTTTGAAACACAACAGGAATTTTATGAATGTACATTTGAGAACACCCATATAGAGCTTTATAGGACATTTCATAAAGACCACAGAATTGTAAATAAGTAGTTTTTTAAAATTAAATCATTTTATTTATCATCTTTGTATGTTATAATATTTTCTATGGTCTGATTATACTTCTGTACATTGGACAGCATTAATGTAATATAATATTTGATATCAAATGGTATTTGCAAAGACCAGTATTGAAGAATAACAACTCATTTGTTCAGGATTTATTCTTAATCCTTCATTATGAGGATTTAGAGTCAAAAAAATTCTTTTTAAATCTCAAATTTCTGTTACATATCTAGTGGTATAGCTTTAGACTAGGATTCCAGTGTTTCTAGTAATAATTCGTATGACTTCAGCCAATGAGACTGAGTCAATTATATCAATGTAGTATACTTCAATTTTCTCATCTTGAAAGGGAGCAATACATTTCTTTTCTACTATATATAATAATGAAACTAATGTGAGATAAAATATGAGAGAATTTGAAAAATGCTATCAAGCTGTAAATATTATTAATTGGAGATGCTGTCAAAAATTCATGCCCAAATATAAAATTATTTCATGTGAAAATATTAGGGAATTGGGGCTGGAGTTATAGCTCAGCAGTAGAGCGCTTTTCTCAAATGTGTGAGCCACTGAGTTCGATTCTCAGCACCACATATAAATAAGTAAATAAAATAAAGGTCCTTCAACAACAAAAATATTTTTTAAAAAATTAGGGAATTGACTTTTGAAATTGTTGTTAAGTTACTAATCAAGGTGACAATCTGGTACTGGTATGAGGATGAATATAGAAAAATGAGAAAATTATTAAAATAATGGAATTTTCCATTAAAAATGATGTTTTAGCTCAGACTGTATATTTTCTAATAATTCTTTGAAGGATCTGCAAGAATAAAGACATGCATCTTTGCAAAGTTAGTAACTTCTAAGTATGTTTGCATTTTTCTGGCATTCCCTTTACTTCCTTTTAGTTATAGGTTCTTTGCATTTTAAATTTTGAAATTATCTTGTCCCACTATCATGGTGAAAACACAAATATTAATAATTAACTGAATTCTCCACCAGATTGGAGACTTTTGTCCTGTAAGTACATACAAATCTTTTGACATTTTGGTAGTTCTTTGGTTTCTGCCAATATGAATCTGTTCTTGAAGGAACAATTCAATCTATTCACCTAGGTATTCGTAGCTAGTTGCTTAGTGATACTAGATTGGAAATTCAGTGTCACTAAGGGCATTTAATTCTAAGCCCTAAAACAAAAATAAATAAATAAATTTTTAGGCTGGGAATTGTGTTGAAATACATAAACATCTGAAACTTAATGACTCAGATCGTTAGTCACAGAGTTACTGGTTAGAATCTGGACGAAATCCACTGTGGACAAAGGCCAGTAATAATGATGATGATATTTTGCTTTTCCATAGGGCTGAACAAAACACTCTGAAAATGTTAGAAGCACAAAAGAAAAAGTGGCAGGATATTTTCCTGTAAACACAGGCTAAGTAAGCATCTTGCTAACTTCAAGGTAATTTTCCCAATCTATATAAATACAGCAAAAAGAAAGGTAATTACAAATAATTATAACAAAAGCCAACTTAAGCAAAAGGCTCATTAGTATTCGATTAACATAGTAACCCTTCTTTCCTAGCCTCTTGTTTGAAGCAGACTGGATCCAATGTGTACAGTCCTAGAGTGTTTAAAAAAAAAAAAATTGGCTCCCTAGTAGTTCATACAAATAAAGCCAGGAAAATTACTATAAAATTATTTATAAATAATTATAAAAATTATTATACTTTCGTTAATAATTAGCCTTCTGATTGAGAATACACAGGGTAGATTGAAGCCTGCTCTCTTGCAATAATGTCAGACATGAGCAATATCATCAGCGGTAAGTATTGGGCTGCTTCAGAGATATCCTCCCACTATCTTCCCATCTGACCGGATCAGGAATTGGATAGCTTCAGAGAAAAAGAATAATGTGTCCATGTGTTCCTCCAGATCTCACAGTCCTGGCAGCCAACCTCAACTCTCTTGGCCACTATAAAGCAGTCACTGAAAGGACACAGCTGCAGGAACGAGGGACTAAGCACTAAATAAATCCACAGGGCTGGAGGCAGAAGTTATATACATGACCCTAGCACAGCACTCTGTGGCTACAAATGAACAGATTAGTACCTAATGGTGCTGTGATAGCTTGTGCAAAATTAGGTGGTGCTTCAGCCACTGCTGAGTTTGGAAAGATGTCCACTTTGAAAAACGAAAACCAAAAACCGCACAGAAAACAAAGGGCCTCCTTAATTGACAATAACTTAGGCTGACATGATGGGGAGACCAAGGACCAACTTGAAAGGAGAAGTTTATTCTCTTAGCTATAGGCACGTGTCTTCAGATCAGAGTTGATGTATGATACCCACAGGTTATAGTCATTGCCAGGTTCTGGGTTGCATTTTAGAGTAAAGGTGGAGAAGCTTGGGAAGCCCTTTGGGGAGACATGGCTTGAGGGTGGAAGAAACTGAAGCAGAGATTGAACATTGATAACACTTCTCAAAGTGTGTTTTGATCCCCATTTTTTTAATGTTTGGGGAAGACAATGCTGTGATTTATTAGGTCTGAGGAGCCATAAGATAAGCAAAGTTAAAACAAACCTCTATGTTGTTGGATCTCCAGAAGCCTTTGATATGCCAATATACACTGCCAATGTTCAACAAGACTTTTGCAAAATGGATTGTATCTGAAACTTCTTTTGACAATGGAAACCCTTTTAGAGAGTGGGAAAAAGTTTTTAAAAATTGCATTATTGGGCTGGGGTTGTGGCTCAGTGGTAGAACACTTGCCTAGCACGCATGAGGCTCTGGATTCGATCCTCAGTGCCACATAAAAATAAAAGATAAAGGTATTATTGTGTCCACCTACACTAAAAAATATCTTTTTAAGACATTGCATTATTATGAAATACTTAAATTTATGGCTTTATTGTTATCTGAAAATAAGAGACTTATAGGGTCTTATAGATACACTAAAATCTAAGAATTTTTTCAACCTATGCATTT